CGGCGTCCATGTTCGTTGGGCGGAGCACAAGCTGTGAAATCCACCATGATGCTACTGATGAGGCTCTCCTTCTCCTTTGTCCATCGGTTATCAGACAACCGTGTATGAGGCGTCCACCGTCGTACACGCATTTGATCGTGCTGATGCGCCTGGCTGTGGGTTGGCTTCTGTTGGGATGCTCCGAGGTGAGGCCAACTCATGAACTTGCTGAGACATCTTTACCTTAAATTACAATTTCTTATTATGATCTTGAACGAATACTAAGGCTTGCATCTTTTATAAAGCTTACCAATTACTGTGTAGTTTCAGTTAACATGAAAGTCACCCGTGGTGAATCTCTTTTCTTGTCCACAGATTTCACGGATCCATTATGATGAAATAGGGTCCCCCCGGGCTTTATTTCACGAATCCATTATCGCCTACAGAACAAGATCCTGGCCCTCCCAGTTTGAGTGATTCTCTTTATTTTTCTATATCTCAACTATTACATGCATCGTTTATATTCGCCGGTCTGCACCCCCTCGTCTCCTCACGTTAATGTGGCTACTGGCAACGGGACTGACGAGGAGGTCGTGGTGGAGGGGTGGTGCTGGCTGTAGCCTAGCAGGATATCATAAGCTCTCCCATGTTCTTTTGTGTATGAATCAGATTTAGTGGTTCTCGATTTTACAGGCATGCATCGATCTTGCTCCTGTTCTGTATGTACGATACACTTAATGTTTTTTACAGGAAGTTCTGCAGATTTTTAGAACACTGAGGGCATATCTTGGCTTGGAATGATGTTGGGTCGATGAAGGTCATACAACATGGCAGGTGAGTGCTCCTCTCCACTTTCCCTCTATGCTAAAAATTAGTTCCAATTTCGGTGCAAGTTCGCCAATTTAGATCTAAACATAAAGGTTTTGTACGAGGTTAGTTAGCAGGGTCTTGCTGGTGACTACTTGAACTCAAGTTGGACAACATATGCAATATCGAATTCAGCGAGATATCATGACTCGATTTCACTTTCATTCCAAATTTGAGATCGTAATTTGATTGATATTTTGCATCTTTTATAGATATAGATTGATAACATTTAATGATGTTATAGGATGTATAATGATTAGAAAAAGAGAGACCATGTGTTTTATGGATCAAAACTGATACTTGCTCATGATGGCATCTCAAGGAATTCTAAATTCCAAATACAGGTGTACATATGTCCACTTGGAAGCTGCTTGAGTTGTTCAAGACAAAAACCAAGTCTATATATGATGGACTGCACTCCTATTTTTTTTATGTGTGCGCCTGCTCCGTGCTCTTTTGTTCCCAGCGGGCTGTTGTGTTGATCCATGGGGATTTGTTTTTACCTCTGCCATTAGTTTGCCCTATAAAACGCAGGTGTTCCTGGTACTTTTCTTTTATAAGAATAAAAAAGCTGGGATGTCATAGACTTTTTTGTGGAAGCGTTGATCGTTAAACTACTAAAATGTCTTCTGTAGGTTTTGCTTACTCGTGGCTATATGTTGGCTTCGTGCTGGCGGGCTATAGTTCTCCTGTCACAAATCATGGAGACATTCATCCTCACAGATTTCTGCTCCTGCTATGTCAAAAGGTAAATTCCATCGAACGAACCCCCTGAATAAAGTGATGTCCATTTCGTACTATTTGGTTAAAGGATATTCCAAGAATTCCCACTCTCACAAGAAAACAACTTGGATCACTTATGATAAGATGTTTTGGTGTTAAGTTTCTCTTCTTTTATGGACCAAGAAGATGAATTATTTTGGCAACATCAACTGCATTTGTACTGACAACAAAAATATTGTTACTTGGATGGTCTTACATTTAGAGGTACACTATTATCTCTGCACTTTATTGTTACTACCTGAAAGCTCCATAACATCCATGCGTAGATGCACTTCCAGTCGATTTATGGTTGGCATTGAAGTTAACCTTTAAATTGAACTTGCATGTCAATACGTCATCTTAATTTTTGAGTAGAAATTCTCACTTCGCCGTTTGAACTCCAAGTCAAGAATGGAACAGTCAGTATTTAAAGCCCCGCTTGATGACAAACTATCAAATAATTGTTAATCTTAAATTGTAGACAAGATACCGAGCCAATCATTCTATAGCTTTGATAATTTAGCTCCTTTAGATTGATATTCCAGAACATCTTCTGCAACATAGTATTTCTGGATGAAATCCTTTTATCATAGTTATTTAAGAGTACCATCCACTTGTCGAGTGTGTGAGCACCCAAGGAATGTTTAGTGCTTTGTCCATTGTTCACTTGACTGCATGATCTATTACTCCCACTGATACATATTAGTTGTCACTGAAACGGATGTATCTAGACATATATCAATGCTAGATACATCTGTTTGAGACAAGTAGTATGGATCAGAGGGAGTATCAATATTATACAATGCTCTAAGAACAATCGGCTGAATAAGTTCCATTTCATCATTTTTCTGTTTATGTACCTGTTTATTCATGTTGATGATCTGCATAGAGAAAAATGCATGACAACCTCCATCTTGATTGCGTGATCTCGTTCATTCTTATTTTTCAGACTATAGGTAGATATTTGAGCCAATTTGGTACACTAATAAGAAAGTTAAAACCTGAGAAGTGATAAGACTATCGTTTGTGTCTTCATGAACTTTACCTTTAGGTTTTCATGACTTTTGTTCCTGTCCAAATATTACACGGTCGCATAATTCTTCCCTAACTTGCAGATGCTATCCAAGCCACATTATCCTTACCTGACATGCAGATGCAATCTAAGCATTTGTGTTCTAACAGAGATAAATAACTTTTTTCATTAAATCAATAAGAGCAGCACAAAGTCTAGGTCCCTGTCTTGGTGGCAGACGGAAGGAGGGGAAGGAGAGCAGATGTTGTGGTCATATATTTTGATGTAACACATGGCAAGTAGTGTATGCCCATTGAAATATGTCCACGATATGTATACAAGTGTCAACAAAAGCACCATTTAACCATTATGACAGATGTTTCTATGATTGTTAGCTGACAGAGCATTTGTTGTGATGTTGCTGGAAGCGTCGTGTATGGCAAAGGTAGATCCCGTTGTAGTGCAGAGCAGAGTTAGTGACATTCAAGTCCATTGTTGAATGTGTGGTTATTACCAAATGATGTACTTCTCATTTTTCTTATTGAAGTGTGGCTTTTATTGCAAAAAAAGCTTGCGGCAAAGCTGAGGAGATGGATTGCAAGGGGGAAGAGAAGATGTATTCATAGATCAAATTTTGTAAGAAAAGTAGCGTGTATATACTCTCTGTGTGATTTAACTTTGACCACCAAATTTAATTGATAATATATGTGTTATGTGTCATAAAATTATACCACCTCAAATTTGAATGCAGTCATGGATTTTGTCTTAAGAGTAATCATGATTTTATCTAACAGTAATACATAATGATATTTGTTCCAAAGAAATCATAAGCTGCAAGTGACATGTTGTGAATTAAAATGATTTTTTTATTAATGTCTTAAACTTGTTGTTCCATGGCAACGCACGGGCATTCAGATGTATCTAGATGACAGCGTTATTTCCGCTTGGTATTTCAACGAGTATAGACTGGTAAGTTTATATATTTCATTATCATAACATTCAAAATACATGCATTTTTATCACTATATTCAAGATAAAATTAGTTTAGGAAATGGCAGGGATGTGTCCGGCTATTTTACTTTTTATTTTATGCTCTGGTGGGATGGTAAAGAATTGTTCGTCCAGTTTGTACCGTGAGTACTCTCTATTACATATTTTAAGACATTTGACGTAAAGTATTTGTGCTAACTACATATATTGCTTGTGTGGAATGGGTATGATTCGAGGAAGAAGTTTTTATTACACTTACTCAAATATTATGCGAATGGAGCTAAAAACAATAATTTTGATATTGTGAGAATTTCTTAAGCACATCAAGTAGATCTTAATTTGTAAAGATTTTTAGTTGGATAATCAGTCATATGTATACATCTTCAAATTGCCTTTCTGTTATCAATTTACATTGCATGTAAAGTGTACTTCAATTATTACCCGATTGTGTTCGTGTTATCTTTTCTCTAATATGTGAAGTTTAACATGCATTATGTTTATATTACTCCAATAAAATATTTCAAAAGCCCGTGGCAACGCACAGGCATTGTACTAGTATGTCCTCAGTTCATCAGTTGAGCGCGCCATGAAACTTCGACATAAATGTCTTCAGAATCGATGGATTTCTCTCGTGAGCTGCAAATTGCTGGCCTGATCAAAATACTTATTTTAGTACGTACTTCGCAAGCACGGAAAGAAGAAAAATCCTCGGTTCATCAGTTGCGCGCGCCATGAAGTTCCGCAGAAATCTCGTCGGGGGATTTCTCCCGTGCTACAAGTTTGCTGGCCTGATCCGGCAGGCTGGGGGCACGCACGGGTGGGGCAAGCGACGGCGAGACGCCACTGATCCTTTCCGGAGCTTATCCAAAACTGAAACAGGAGCGAGACGCATCCACACCCCAGGAACATGAACATAAACAGAAGCAGAATTTGTCGGAGAAAAAACAGAAGCAGAAAGTGGTTGCGGCAAATCATCCATGATCCACGGATGGATAAGCCTGCCGCCATGGAATAGATCAGATGCATGTATTTGTCTACAATTTGTTACTCATGTATTGATGTATATCCAGAAGCAAAATGAAGGCCTATACACAGCTAGCGGGCAGAGAGGACGAGAGCTCACTCTATGTACAAGTGGAGGTGGAGCAGAGACGACGAACTCACTCTATGTGCAGCGAAGCGGAGAAGAGGCGGCTCACTGTATGTACAGTATCTACTGGCTAGCTAATTGAGCAGCCCGGAATCGAATTGGATCTTAAAACTCCAACTGATCCCACCGATCTTCCTTCTATACAGCGATCGGAATTATTCGGGGATTTCCTTTCCTATGTACAATATGTTCAGTATGTACGTATCTTGCTGCTATGGTATGTCGACGATGTTGTTGTTTTTACTGGTTGCTACGGCCGGCCATGGAGGCGGCGGAGAGCCGGCTAGGCCCGGCATGGAACTGCTCCACCACTCGCTTCCGGTGCTGCAGCTGCTGCACCGCGTGGGACGGCACGAGCGCCTTGCGCGCCCAGTGCCCGCTCCCCATGGGAACGCGCTGCGCCAGCCCGCTGTATGAGCGTCTAGAGCAGCCGCTGCCGCTGGGGACAAGCTGCGCGAACGGGCTCGCCGTGCGCTTCGACGGCGGCGAAGGCGGTGAGTCGGGCTTGCGGCCGGCGGCGGGGGCCTCTTGCTTGCGCTCCTTATGGAGGCTGCAGCGGAACGAGCCCGGATGGTTCGTCGGGGAGCACATGCAGGACCGACGGATCTTGGCAGTGGGGGAGGAGGGGGGAGATGAGACGCTGACGGACTTGACCGACGAGCCGCCGACGGAGAGCTTGACACGGGAGAGCGAGGCAGATTGGTAGTTGGGAAAGGGAATCAAAAGGGTGGGGCCGCTGGGCCGGGAGGCAGACGTCGTCGACATGATGAGAGATTAGAGAGGTGGATGGGCGGTGGCTTTGGTATGTGAGTTGAGCTCCGGTGGTTTGCTGCCGGTTTGGGTAAGAAGAGATGAGAGCCGGTTGGCCTCATTTTATAGGCCGGGGAGGGGCAGTTTGGTAAATCATGGGCGTTAAGAACCTGGAGTCTGGGCGTACGGCAGCACATTGGAATCGGTCGTGGATGAGCTTTGCTACAGTTACCGACTCAAACTCGCGGACAAGAACCTACAGGCTGACATGGGAACCGTTGATTGAAAAGCAGATGGCCCCACACTTAAAATCAGGAGGTGGTGGGAGATTAGGAGGGGGACACATAATCCCGTAAGCTTTCGCCGTGACTTATTGTCCGTAAGTCTGGGATTTTCGGTCGTGGATGCTAGGCCAGCTTGCTTTGAATACTAATTTCAGTGTCAAACTTCTGGTCAATTTCTTGCATTAAAAACTAGTGCTGACCAGAATCTCGCTATTCTGCGCACAGTACAAAAATATACTACTCCCTCCGTCCTAAAATTTTTATTTTAGATTTATCTAGATACGAATGTATCTAATACTAAAATGCGACTTGATACATCCGGATTTAAACAAATCTAAGACAAGAATTTTCGGACGGAGAAAGAAGTATTGATGGGATAGTTTGTGCATCAATAAATCGGAACATATGGTTGTTTCCTCTTCTTCAGAAAAACTGTCATGCACTTTCAAAAAAAAAAAAAAACTGTCATGCAGGAGGAGCACACCGCGCATGTGCCAGTTCGGCTGGAATTCGGCAATGCCAACCCCGATTCCTGCGTGCAACCGCCCACCGGTCCTGCCTGGACCCGTCACATGGCATGTTGCTTTCGTAAACCGGTTCGGGCACACTGGAAGAACCGTCCTAGAAAAAGGGAACTTATCTCGGAACGTAGAGAGCGAGGCAGGTGATGGTGAAGCTGGCACGAGCATGTCCTGATGGACGTGACGCGCCAGCAGCCGGCAGCGACCCGACGGACCACAGCCGCCGGCCGTGGGTACACCTCCGCCTTGCTTGAAACCCGGCCGACCTCTGAACGTTCGACACCGTAGCATCGGCCGGAATCAGTCGCCGTAATGTTGCCCATGTAAGTTTGTGGAGTCCGTGGGAAGGAAGCGATCACGGAGTGGAGCCGGCGATGGTGGCACGATCACTTTCGATCATCCACGATAAGATGCCCTGGTCTGATCTGATCGCTGTTGCTACGGCTGTGCGTCTGGCTTTCCTCCGGTTCCGGTAGAAAGGTGGGCGTCTCTTTCCCTGCCCATCCGTTTCTCGTTCGCTTTCCCTTCCTGTCTTTGCTCTTCGTTTTGTTTGTTTTACTGTCGAAAGATTATGATCGACAAGCTGCTGCCCTTGGTACCTGCGTCGGCTGATGCCTAAATTAATCCTCGCAAAGTTAATTACTCGGGCTTAGTTACAGCCGTGTGCTGCTGAAGGCACCCTGGCCACATGCACGCAGGCGCGTAAACCTATTGGTGCTGCGCCAATTTACAAGATCAAACGAACGAACGGGGTCAGGACTGAGGACCATGCGCGCGGGAGGAGACACGTCCAGGCCGCCGCGGGCGACGTCTGCATGGCGACAAGGGGTGCGTGGCGCCGGCCGGCCGCGACAGCTGGCTCCGGCGGGGGCTACTTGGCCAGTCTTTTGTTTTTCACTCTGGCCGCACCCACCTTGTCGATTGGATCCGGAGCAGCTATCGGGGATGGGCCGTCGACCTGCATCATCTAGCTCGGTGGTTGATGCTCGGCCTGCTGATTTTTGTATCGTGGCGCCCTTTTCCTGTTGTTGAAGAAAGCAGAGCGGGCCAGACGAACTAGTACCAGTGTACGCTCTAGGTTTACTTTCTGCCGACCGGCCGTGGACGATTTCGATCTCCAATCATGCGCACGGACCTTTGTCTCCGCGGCTGCATATGTAGTTGATCTCCGGCAGAAATCACATATTTGACCTGAGGGCCAAATCAAATCACAAACTGACCTCGTTCCGAAAAAATTTCACTCTGCTGATCCTTTCGTGTGGCGCCCGACAGCTGGGCGCCACACACTACTATGCAGCGCCTCTCTCTTGGGCGTTGCACCTCCTGCCAGCGTGGCAGCCTGGTCCAGATGCGGCCCCACAGACAGCATTGCAGTGCCTCAGGCTTAGGCGCCACACTTGTAATATGCAGCGCCTAGCTCTTGGGCTGAAACTGTGGAGCCCATGTATTCTTTACCGTCATGATTGAGAACTCGGACTCCCTCACGGTAAGAGGGTAATTGACATTCACATTCCTAACACGGGCTGCATTTAACAAGTGCGAGCATGGGAGATGAAGCAACGATGGCCTCATGCAGTTGCAATCACACCGTGTTAGGGAGACCTTGAAAGCGCGGCCTCCGTGTTGGTGACCATCGTTTGTGGTTCCTCCAGGCTCTTTCACCTCATACTTCCACTCGTTGTCGTCATATAGTACAGCTTCTTGGGAGTCTGCCTTTCGTGATTGAAAGTCCAACCATTCTTCAACCTTTGATGGGAAATAGTACTTGTGCTTATCCTTGTTCTCACCAGCAATCTGCTTATCCTTCTCCATTGAATACTTCAAAAAGTATCCATTCATCTTGTCAAATGTGTATTGAACTATTGCCGTCACGGGTGATGCATGTACACCCTTGAGCACCTTATTGAAGCAATCTGTTATATTGCTTATCATTTGACCGTACCTCCGGCCATCTTCATCGAAAGCACGTGCCCACATATTTCTTTCGATAATGTTCTTACTGAGAAATTCATGACCACCGGGGTCAAGTTTCTTGTGTCTGAGCAATGCATTGAACAATAGCAAACTGCTTGTTGGTGAAAGCGAGACAACAATCTTGAAGATCATCGGCCAACTCCTTGATACCACATGCCCTATAGAAGTTTGCACAAAAGTGCCTCATGCACCATCGATGGTGCAACTTTCTATGTCCGGGAATGTCAACCACCACCGCATTTAGAATTCCTGGATGGCGATCCGATATGACACAAATTTCCCTTTCAGCCGGTAATACCCTTGTTCTCAATTGACGCAAGAACCACTCCCAGTTATCATTGTTCTCCACCTCAACCAAAGCGAAAGCCAAAGGCAACACCCGGTTATTAGCATCACTTGCTATTGCAACCAATAAACTGCCCTTATATTGTACGGTCAAGAACGTGCCATTAATGGCGATGACGGGCCGACAATGCTCAAAAGCCCTCACGCATTGCTCAAAGGCCCAAAATGCACGGCCAAATATTCGGACGGTCCTCCCATTGTGAATCAATGTTTGGTGCCCATGAGGCTCAACCACGTGAACCATGTCTGGGCTTGTGGTTTCCATAGCTAACAACAACCTAGGGAGTCGGTTGTATGCTTCCTCCCAATTGCCATACAACTTGTTGAATGCGGCTTGCTTTGCCTTCCATGCCTTGTCGTACTTCATCTTGTAATGAAAGATGGCTTTCACAAGGTCAATGACACTCTTGATGCTCATTGTTGGAAGTGTGGATATTTGGTTGAAAAGCCTATAAGCGATGAACTCGGACGTGAATTGTCTGTGTTGTTGGTACACAAGCTTGCCATCCGCATTCTTGTGCCGGCACATGTGATTTGATAGACAACTCACTATGCGCCAAGTGGGACCTCCTTTCCATGGCCTTGCACGCACAATCCATGAACAACTTGGCACTTCACATTTGACCGTGTAACGCACATTGACGTCCGAGTTGGCCACTTTATGTGGACGATAATGCGTAACCGAGTAGTTGTCGAGCCACATCTTCAATTCGAAGAAGGATTGAAACTCACAACCGGGATATATCCCGTTCTCGTTGTCTTCCAAATCACGTTGAGAACTTGGCCTAGCTCCAAGAGATATGCATTTGCTACCATCCACAACGGCTTCATCCGCGAGACTAAGATCCTTGAACAATGGTGTCTTGTGATCCCGCCCGAATACCTTCTTGAATGCTTGGGCCTCCTTCGGTGTGAACCCCTCCTCATCAACTTCTTCATCGGGACCATCGTCATCCGAGTCCGATGCATATGCACGGGAAAAATGGATGGATTGGTCCATTGTCTCTTGCACATGATATTGGTCGAGATCACCCACATTGTTGTCATGGAGATCAACTTCGTTGTCATCTTCCTCGTACTCATCATTCTCCTCTTCAAAACCTTCATTTTGGTTGTTTGGAGTCGGGCTCAATGTTGGCCAATCTTGTTGCGTGAAATGAGGTTCACTCATTTGATCTTGGTTCATGGGTGGTGGAGTGCTAGCAACCAACGGGGAGGGGTTCCGATTCAAGTCCAAATTCAAAGTAGACTCAACCTTCTTGGAGGCAAATAACTCAAGAGCCCTATCTAGAGATTCGGCAATCGTCTTCTTGTATGCAACCCAACGTTGCTCGGAGTTCACACGCATTATCTTCCAACGGATGTGCATTCCAAAACCAACATTATGCCTTCCCTCGAACTCAACAACGTCACTTGGTCCAAGAGCTCCGCATAGCTTGGACTACTCTCAAACACCATGTCAAGCTCATCCGGGTCCGGCTCAACATTGCCTTTCAAAAAGGCCTCTTTATCCACATGATGAACATAAACACATGTTCTCCCCATCCCTATAATAATAAAAAAACACATATATCAAGTAAGTACTTAACAAAAATATTTGCACAAAATACATATGCCATAACATATATATGAATTAATAACCCTAACCCCCACTTAACAATAACCACAACCCTAACCATAGCATAACCCTAACACCAACATCAAACACACATAACCCTAACCCTAGCATACTATGAAAGCCTAACCAACCCAAATTAGCAAAGAAACATAACATGATTCAATACAAATTTGCAAATCCAAGCCAAAACTAGGGTTTCCCCAAAGTAGCATGATTTGAGCAAATGTGACAATTCCTATGGATGAAAACGAGGGGATCGAAGGAGATTACCTT